ATACATCGTTCCTAAGGCTATAAAGGGGACCCCTGCAAGCATAGCTTTCTACCTCTCTTCGGTGAAGGGAGGTTACCTCTTTCGGTGGAGGGAGCCTTAAGCGTGTGAGGCTTAACAAGGGCTGGGTGCCACCTTTCTTTGTTTGTTCCCCCTGTTTTTCTTAATTACAGGCCCAACGCCCAAGGCAAAAATAGAGATTTAGGTAAAAGAAAAGTGGCTGGAAACCTATGCTACCAGGTCGGACGTCCGGGACCCCCCTCATCGTCCGGGTTGTCCGATCTGACAACTGGTCGGACGTCCTCTTCGGACAGTCTGTCCGAAGCCCAAATGTAAAAAAAAAACAAAAAAACAAAAAAACAAAAGAACAATCAAATTTCTTCTTCATAGCATATTCGTTTCAGATGCCGTTCTTGTATTTCCAAATAAAGATCTGAAAACTTTTTTCTAAGTAAGATTCCTAACCTGAAATCAGCAAATCAGAGTTTCGCTCTGATTCCAATGAATGATCACCAAGTCTGATTACCAAAGGCTTCTCAAAGTGAGCTTAATGTTTGATAGATATTCAAAATTGATCGAATTTTTAAATTCTCTATATTAGTATAGTCAAGTTTGCTCTCTTCTATTTTGAATTCGATATTTGATTTGACTTTTGATTTGATACTTGATTCTGTATGTTTTCGGAATTTTAAAAATAGGTCATAATTGAGTCTATGGCTGTGATATCGTAGGATTTGGGTTCATAGGTGCCGATTGAACTCTCTTCTTTAGGGTTGGAGCCCCTTCCTGCAAGGGTTATGCAAGGTGGGAGGTGTGATCCTTGAGAGGGTAGGGGCGGTTTTTGGGCGCGTTCTCTTTTGGACCAGGCTGATTTGGGTTGGATCAGCTAAGGCGGTTGGGAGAGAGGACAAAGGGACGTGTTGAATTCGGCAAGGTGAGAGGTTCAAAGGTGTTTCGCATGGAGGGGTGGGATATGAGGGAAGGGTAATTTTCTGCTCCGCGGAGGCATACTCTAAGGGGTATTGCATGCTGTTGAGGGGGCAGGAGTGATTTAGGGGGCTGCACTGAGCTGAGGCTGGAAGGTGAGAGTGGACCTTCCAGTGGAAGCAGCGAAAGGGCAGGAGGTCGTTTTTTAAGGGGAAGGAGAAAACCGATCGGTTTCTTGTGAAGCCTTTTTACATCCAGCAGAGACATGAAAACGAGTGGACCGTGTTTGATGATTGCAGCCAGTGCTTACTCTCATTAGAAGAGCTAAATCTGTTCTCAAATGTTTTCTCAGCCGAAGCCGACCCCGGTATCTCAAAAAAGAGTTTGAGGTGAATAGAGGGTGGGATATCATGCATCCTACTAGTGAGGAGGCTTGCTGGTAGGATGGGAATAAGATACAGCAGTAGCGGAGATGGTGGCTCTGCTGCAGTAAGTCTTGCCGGAATGGGGATAGGGGATTGACTGGGGTGTTTGAGTCTTTTCCTGAATCGTGCACATGTCTTGCTTTTTCTCTCCAACAGGTGAGGGGGGCAAGTAGATGGTTGGATAACAAGTGTCCTACTAGTAAAGAGGCTTTTCATGTTACATATTCTCAGTTGTATTTCAAAGGGACGCTGAGCCCGGTTCTCAGCAAGTGAGGCTCCCCACGAATACATTGGAACTTTTGTCCCAAAAGCAAAAAAAAAAAAAAAAAAAAAAAAAAAAAAAAAAAATCGAAACAATATGAAAAACAATTATGTTATGCAGAAAACTAAACTGAACAACGTTTGCCTTGGGGTTACATCGAAATTCTTTATCAAATTTGAAATAAAAAATAAATTTCAAAAGACCTCTAATTGTCAGCTATGTAACCGGCTGAACGCACGTTCACGTTCAAAAGCGCGTGTTCATAGCCCCCGGGGCCACGTTCAATAGCGTTCAAACGCGCTGCACGCCACGTGGAACGAAAAAATTGAACGCGACCACGGGGGGCGCGCGCATGCGTTGCGGACTACGGGGTGGTGGGCCTCGTTCAGCGAACCCCGAAA